AACCAGGAAGAAACCCAAGGGTATCTTTTTACAAAAATATACTAGTATGTTTATTAATGATGTACTATTATTTGTATGAACCATTAGAGAAACAGCTTGGTAGCGAATGACTTTGAAACTGAATGATACCGGCGGTTATTTTCATTCGTGAATGCAAGACGTAAAGATACTGTAAGCTCGTGCTGCGCATATCAAACCAAAATTTAACATTCAAAAGCTGAAGGTAGCTCGGGCTAACTATCACACATCGGGACGTCAAACACCTCAGTCCGCCTGTGACCATTGGTGCTGTAAAAGACCTAAAACGTGGGAAATTAAAATAAGATGAATTAAACACGATAAAATCCGTACAATTATTTTTATTCAATAAATGCTTTGTTTCAGTTCTCACACTTCCTCCCCCAACATGCATACACAGCTCTTGCATTAAAAAAAGCGAAAATTTTGAATCCTACAGCATCGGTATATAAGGTTCAAAGTTTTCCTAGTTGGTGTACGTCACGTCACAGGAGTACGTCAAGTGGAATATAATAGCTCATCTATTTATATCCCGATAACAAATATTATGAGGGCAACAACCCATCTAAATGATATTGATCAATAGGGTGAGCCCGACTGTGGATACGGTTGGTTTGGATATAAAGAAAGTTGATGATTCCAATGTTTGGTCCAACATGAAATATTTAAAATTAATCTTCTAGCAGTGTTAACTCGTTCATGAATTTTGATCTAAGTGTTAGGTATACATTTATCTTTTAATAATGATTCTTAAAGGTGATACGCAAGCTGCAAGCAAGTTGACCATGTCGGCCATTTAATACATTTAAATTTGATTACTTTCAAGTTTTATAACTTTTGTGTTCGCAAGCAATTCCGAAGCACATGTTGAATTAGCTTAACACTAGTGTCTAGTCTGTTTCTCAGCTAAATTTGCTGCTTTAATTTGTACTTAATGGTTTTGGCATAAAGCCATTAATGCTTAAACCGTTTGTCTTCGTTCAAATAAACGAGTGAAATGTTTGTAGTGTAAATATTATTTAGTATGCAATTATCCGTGGAGAGGCGACAGAGGGGAAAACCAGGAGATGGACAGTAGCGTCTTCCTAATAACAACTAAAAAATTAAAAATATTGCGGTTGCCAACCTGTCTACTAAGCGTGGCAACTATGGCAAACATGAGGCCTGTGTTTTGCGGTAGATTTTTGATAGATTGGTTGTAACTGTAACAAGTTCTTGTTTAAAATGTGATATCACAAGAAACTTATTGCATGTTTTCTTTGATCATGAGAGGAATTCTTCATTAATTTATTATCTTTTCAACGCGAGTCACTATAGCGATTCCAAGTTTCTCTGTAATTTACTTACTGAAACATTTATTAGCACTTTATTTGAGCTTACATTTGCGAAGACTTAGAATTCATATTAATCCAGAACTATTTTAAGGTATTAAGAGTAATCGACCGGAACGGAAAACAGAATCAAGCGAAACCTACGAATAGTTCTAAGGAACGTTATTATTATGTTTTTTTTATCGGAATGTCACTTAAGAACATGAATTACATGCAAGCACAATTAAAAGCAATCACACAGTAGCCTAGTAGGGCCGGAGAAAAAAAATGGTACCCCCCGCACCCAATGGGAATAAAAAAAAAAAAAAAAAAAACCACAGAAGATGGGGGGGGGTTTTATATTTATGCAGGCGGTGGAAAAGTATGACTTGGCTCCTCGCTAACTGTAAATTGTGCTTAAAAATTGTTTTTAGTTAAGTATCTAATACGAATAATTTATAAAAAATAAGAGCTGTAACTAACCTGGAAATCATGACTCAGGCCAAGACATAGGTCCTCTGCAAAGTGTTATCATCCAACGAAGTCAAATAATATAGCGTAGTCAAAACGAAATTATAAATTAAAAACTTTTATACCTCATCAACTACTTTATGAACTTTGTAACTGTCTTCGGAAGTTATTGAATGTATAGTTGTAACACGAAAGGGTCAGATCGACCGGGAAAGGACCACGCTTAATGCTGCTATGTTTCGTATGGTAAGTGTAGAGAAATGGAGGCGCTTTTTTTGGAAACGAGGCATTTCACCTTAGTCCTTAGGGGTGACAACGCATCTACATTTTGATTCTTAATCGAGGATAGATGTAGATGTCTATGAGCCACAGCATCCACTTACCACCAGATGGACTGTGTGCTCGTTTGTCATGCTAATTCTATAAAAAAACGAAAAGTTTCTTAAATATAGGAGATGGCCATGTCCAGCAGACATACAGGCTCATGAGAATATGAAGATATAAGTCATCATCATCATAATCATTACGTCCATCACAAGTCCACCGCCGAAAGGCCAGAGTTCGATTATGGATATCTGATGAGCTGTAATAAAATAATAGCCAGGTAATGCCACAAAGGACCCCGATCCACTTGCATCTGTCGACTACCTGCATTTTATGAGGTGTCGGTTCTTCGAGCTATGTTTGTAATATAATGATAAAATTAATAATTTTGACTATAATTAACATAACTCATCATGGTACGTTGTACATTTTGTTCGTGGTCGAGCTTTGCTACCGCTTTATTATTATTATGGCACGAATGGTTCAGCTCGACCGGGGAGGAGCCACGCTCTCACAGAGTACCAGCATAAAGCTACTGTGTTTCGTACTGAGTGTAGAGAACCGAAGACCCTTTTTACTGAAAACGTGGCATTGTGTGTGTGTGCGCACCTTTGAGGACTAAGGTGGAATGCCTCGATTCCAGTAAAACGGGTCTCCGGTTCTCTACACTCACCATACGAAACACAGCAGCATAAAGCTGCTATTTTACGCTGGTATCCTGTGAGAGCGTGGTCCTTCCCCGGTTGAGCCGACCCCCATTCATGCTACAACCATAATAGTTGCAGCGGAGCTCTACCACGTAAAGCGCATTCTGCATTTTGATTGTTAATCTAGGATAGATGTAAATGTCTATAGACTACAAGCCTGACTGGGTGGACTATGTGCTCGTTTTTAACTTATTCTTAAAAAAATTTAGAAATTACAGACAACATCTTTCACGATATAATTAATTTTTAAATTTTATATTAGCAAACAGACTACGCCGCGGTTGTTGAACTCTGGTAAAATGTGCTCCAATAAATTAGCCGCTGTCTGACGAGTTTATCGCTTTATGAATATATAGGCTTTTCGTGTCACGGCGGAGGGTGCACGTCCGCATAATGAAATTCCGGCGGCTATCCTCCCCGGGGAGATTTGTGGGATGACCGGGCGTTATTGCTTATAAACTGTTTACAGCTTTTTGGAAATGGGACAATTTAAAAAGACAAATTAACTTAAGTCAGAATAGGTGTGGTTGATGGTTCACTATTTAATCATGACCCCGCAGGATCTGCCTGCTTAACTTCTCTGTTTATGGAAGATTTGGTTGCAATTGTAAGTTGTAGTATCTGGTTGTGTGTTAAACTGGGGGTCCCCCAGGGATCAAAACTTGGCCCTTTTTTGTTTTTGGTCGACGTGGATCTTTATTATACGGTACTTACAAAAATGACAGCTATTTCTTTTTATTTTTTAATTGAGATATTTCTATTTAGATATTTACTGGATGGTAGGACTCTTTTCTGCCTATGTCGTGATGATGCCGTCTGGGCAGATACCACTCTGTTACCCGTTGCTGCTGCCAAATAGCGCTTTCTTTGCTTTATTCCTGTCTGACACGAACGGTTTGCGCTGTCTCATTTGCCTCAGAACACTACCTAATTAACTTACAAGATAACAATTTAGATTTTGAAAGTTCGACTGTGTTTTTCGAAACTTTTGTTGACTCGAAGCTCCAGTGTGTTGTTGGTAAACTACATATCTTCCAAATTAAATTTTGCAATCTTCGCTATTTAAAAAATTAGAAAGTTGAGAAATTAATCAACAACTAAATTAGTATACTTTGCTTCCTTTCACTGTATTACGACTTAAAGTAGGGAACTGCAGCTGGATTGGAACCATATTTTTAAGGACGTCATATACCAATGAAAAAATATATATTTATTTAAAAAAACGAACTGTCCCCTGTAGAACGAGTCGCGGTGATGCGCTAGTATATCGTACCACTAGTGATAAGAAGTTCCTAAATGCTGAACAAAAAGTTGAGGGAAATTTTTAACATAGTTGTCTGTTTTGGTAGGCGGGTTGGCATCCGTGGTTTTATATCATTTGGAGTTGTTATGAGAAATATGCCGCTGCCCATCTTCTGTAATATTTTCTCTGTATCCTTTTCGGCAAACACGGGATGATATTAAAAATTTCAGAACGCCTGGCTGTGTTCATTAATAATACAAATCCACAGTGCCTGGAGGATACCTACCTTCTGGAATAAATTTTTGTATTATATATTATGGTATATTGAATTTTTAATCTTTTCTTTTTCTTCTTTCAAAAAGAACGTTACATCTACACTAGGATTTTCTCATATATCGTGGGGGCAGTTTACAAACATAAATTTCACAAGGACAAACATCCAGACCCGGAACAATTACTTGTAACCCGTACAAATACTTGTTCCGTGCGGGATTCGAACCCGCGACCCCCAGCGCTGTAACTCATTGCTAAGCCACTGCGCCACGGGGCCACAGGCACCATTCCAAACGAACGAATTTTACTTATTACAATGAAATCGTCTTCAATTAACATTATCTTTGATACTTTAGCCCATTAAATATTTATTATTCCGTTTATTTAGTTCGTCCATGATTATATCATTTATTATTAAAATGAAAACTAATAAAACTCACAGCAACCGAGTCTGCGAAGTAAATTAGATTAGAAAAAATCCAGACGAAATCGAATTTATAATTAATTTGATATCAAACCATCCGCCATAGATTACCTCCCAAGGGTGATATTTGCCACAATTGCTACGCTTGGCACGTGATTTGGCAACAGCAGTTTTTTTATTATTTTGTTTTTTGAAATCAAATATAACAGTGGAATGTATACTTGTTCCAGGACGAGGAATCTCTGGACTCAACGCGGCCGGTCGCCAACATTACCCACCATAGCATCATGTACGCGCCCAAGTGCCTCGTTATCGTCTCGAGGCAGGACTACATTGACACCTTTCGCGTAAGTGGACCATATCTATATATGTATGTATATCTATTCAAATCTACTGGAGATAGATCATAAATCTCGTCACGGTACACGAGCGTAAATATATATTATTATTATATGCAGTGTTCACTTCTTAAATTGATTAATAAAGTAATAAAAATTTTAAATGCAAAAGCCACGTAACATATACAAATCGCCTCGATTGAGGCAAAAAAAATTTTAGGGTTCCGTATCTCCAAATTTTAATTTAAAGTTTTAGGAATGCTTTTCTTCAGACACGGATCGAGGCAGAAGTTGAAATTAATAATAAATCTCTTGATAGGTGCGAAAAAGTCCAAACTTTTAAAAAATAAAAACAATCGAAAGCCATTTATGGCATATATTATATACTCTGATGCTCCCAAACTCACTCATTAAAACCTGTAGGGTATTTCCCGTAGACCTAGAATCCTGAAATTTGGCAATAAGCAAGTTTTAAAGTACAAGTAGAGGAAAACAACCGAAAATCGTTAATTTGTGGTTGTTATATCACAGAATTTTTTTCCATTGCAAACTGACATTTGTAGTTGCAGAACCGATCGTAATAAGAACGATGTATGGCAGAAAATGTTTTTCAAATGCAAAGTTTAGTTTCTCCTTCAATCAGACTTACCTTTTTAGAGCAATATTCGGTGCTTCACCTAGCTATAATCCCAGGATTGATGAACTATCTACATGCATAGTTAAGATACAGAACCTTTAGAACGCGAGTCTTACTTGCATCTCGTCCATTCGTCATTTTTCTTACCATTGCATAAATTGTCATCCGACATGCATTGGAGCAGCGTGACGGGAACTAACGGAGGTTTGAACCCATCTGTGGGACTTATATTAGCTATAATTTTATTATAATTTATAACTTAAAGAATGTCTAAAGGAACACAAGATTTTGCTCTCATACATTACCGGAGAAATGTAGCTGCGTTTGCTTCTATATTTGAGGTGATAAGTACTGAGTGCTGCTGAAATTAATTACTTTAAAGAGGATTTTTTTAAATACTAGCATAGCTATTAACATTACTTATATTCCTTTACACCACGCCTAGAAGTGAAAAAAAAAGAATGTGTTTGTTTTGGAGTTCTTTACAACAGTGGTCTAATGAGCGGATGCAAAACCGCGACCTTTGAGTTCGCGTTCCGCACCCAGCCATTAGGCTAACTGTCGCTTAAAAAAATTATGTACCTACTTAATATTAGATGGTTTGTGTTTTCTCTTCCACTAATATATAATAATATATAATAAATGAAAAGAGAAAGCGTCTTGGTGAACAACATGTGAGTGTAGGATATTTATGTATGGACTTGAAATTTCCATCAAAATGCAATTGACATATTAATAAGTGCTAATATATTCTTAAACATTCAATTAGCTAAAATATTTAAATATTAAATCTAGCGTACGACATACCTATATTAAAGTTGTATTTTTGGTATACACAGCCCACTTGGTTAATGGATGTTTTAACACGTAGACACCCATGGAATCAAATTGTAGATGCTTTTTAACCCCTGAGGACTAAGAGTTCCTCGTTCGCAGTAAAAAGTGTCTCCGGTTTTCTATACTCACCACACGAAACTCAGCTGATATTTCTAGCTGGTATTCCTTCGCCGGTTGAGCTCACCCGTTCGTGCAGCGACCATAATATAGCTGCTGCATGGTGCTTGGACATTTAGTTACTGTCACTTTTATAAAAAGAAGGATATAATATTTTATTACAAAAATCCTTAAAATAATATACAGAGTTTTCATTGTATTATTTAAAAAAAAAATCGTGTTCTCGCGCATGACATTGAATACATAATGTGAGTTTTAATTAGGGAGGTCATCGGGAGTGTACAGCAGATAATACTAAATACGATATATAACATCTATATGATATATAAGGGTTGAATCTGAATGACAGGGTGAGAAATTGTGTAATAAGAGAAGAGTGTGTTTTGTAAGATGATGTTGTGGCCAGGATTGAGAAAGGAATGCTTCGGTGCTTTGGTCATGTAGAAATAATGAATGTGGAAAGAGTGACAAAGAGTGAAATTTATGTATAGCAGAAATTAACGACAGAGTCGGGAAGGGACGCCCTAGGAAAAAGTTTATCGACCAAATTGGCGATATATTGAAAATCGGCCAAATTAAGATTACCCTTAACCGACGAGCATCAATGCATATAGATGTTGAGGAGGCAAGAGAGGTTTATCAGGATCTTGCCAAATTGAAGTCTGCAGTTTCTGCCTACCCCAATGGGTGACAGTCTTGAGTGTTAATGTATATGTTATGTTACATGATACATACATTTTATAGCAACCGTAACAATACATTTATAGAATAATATTCACAATACAAAACACATACTTGTGTGTGTGAGACAGTGTATTGAATCTATAAAATGAAAGGTGGACTGTGCCTGTTTATATAGGCTGTAACTTTAACTTAAAGCTTTATTTGGATATCCACCTGAAAGCAGTTCACCCATCATCATCGTTATCATCATCATTACAGCCCTTCATAAGTCCGCTTCTGAACATAGGCCTCCACAAGGACTGCAAGAAAGCAGGGTACTGAGCCTCCTGCATCTATCGACTTCCTGCCTGTCTTATCAGGTCGTCACTCCATCTAGTGGGGGGCCGCCCCACACTTGGCAATGGGTGGCCGACAACCTATGGGGAAGAAAGAAAGGTTCACCCATAGTCACACCTTGAATACGCACATATCACTACTGGGCACAGGACTTCTCTCAGTCTTAGAGGCTGATGAGGAAGTACGAACACAACTTGACAATAAGTTGTAATATGTACTTATGTATTATAAGTATTTATTATTTTAGTAATATACATACTTTATTTTACGTTCATTTTATATTTTTTGTGATGTACCATTCATATCTTACATATTATATTTCTATGTACTACAAAATTTTTAGCTTTGTATTCTCATATAAAAAAAATTCTTACACCTAATTCATTCTATCTCCGCATCACCTCAGGGTAGACTGGAAGAGAACGCCTCAGTCATTAAGTCCGCTTATACCACGTGTGTATATAGTTTTAAATAAATAAATACACGTTTGTTGTGAATTCGCAGAACTGTCTGGGCATAATCTACACGGTGTGGGTGGAGAACCTGGGCGTGCCGCTGGAAACGCTGGTGGGCAACCTGGTGGGGTGCGTGCTGGTGCCGCCGGCGGGCGGGCCGCAGGTGCGGTTCAGCATCGGCGCGGGCGACCGCCAGGCGCTGCAGCCACCCGCCGCGCCCCCCATGCCGGTCACGCACACCGCCGTACATATGCTGCTACGACTGCTCGGTTAGTGGAAGCCCAGCTTTAAGTTTTTAATAAGTTTTCACCTATATCATAGAATCGTTTAACATATATAGTTACAAGCCGTTAGAAATCTCGGGATAGGTACCACCTTTTCACTCTCTCACCACCTATTTCTGTCACCAAGTACTATGAGTTACGGTATACAGAAAAGAGCACCAGTATAATTACTGGCGTACGATCTTTAGAGAGGACAACGTATTTGCAGCCTTCTTTGTTTGAAATTGGTTGCAGTTGTCCGTGGGCTGCAGTAGCCATTTATTATCATGTTTTAACTTTTTTATCATAATGGTGAATTGAATACCTAATTTAAAATTAATATAAATCATGGGTGCGTTTGGCAGAAAAAAGCGCTAGCAAGCGCTTGTAAGCAAAATGGCGATCGTAAGCGGTAAGCGCTGTCAAATCGTAAGTAGCTATTTTCCTCCAGGACACGATGTTAGTTTTAACCGGGGAATCTAACCTAATTTAAATATATGTTTGTAAAGTATTCATATTAAAAACTTACCAATCATGAATTTTTAATAGCATGTATATGTTTATTCATGTAATTATATTACTTAAAACTAATATTGCACAAAACAACTTATAAACTCTACTTCAAAACAAACAAATTAAATAAGCAAAATGGCGGATTGTGTCAGCGCTACTGAAGTAGCAATCGTGTCCTGGCCGAAAACTATTTTAGCGCTTATAAGCGCTTGCTAGCGCTTTCTTCTGCCAAACGCACCCAATAATCATCGGTTCGGGTTATTATTTATAATATGTACACTACAAAAAGTTGACGTCGATAAAAAACAGCAAAATTGGTTAAATTACTTCAGAGATAATATGGCGTTACTTAAATAAAAAGCATTCTAATTTGAAACTATGTAAATGATATTTGAGCGAATTAAATTAAAATAAGATGAGGAATTACGACACTGTAGTAAGGCATTATATTCCTTAACGTTTGAAATTCATTATCACCAAATTATTGCAGCACATCACAATTGACTGCTTTGAGGAGAGACTGCAACAAAGCTAAATCCTCTACCAGTTCACCATCATCTAGTTCGCCGCACTGGCCATATTCACATATACCCGCTAAAAGTATTCATTTCATTTATTGTGGAGTCAACCTACACTGCGTTTGCGGTTACGAGGCTGCCACTTGAGAAATTCTTCCCTATCGGCAGTCAGTTTTATGAGCTATATGGTCGTGCTGTTGCTAAAATAACGAATTTTATAACGTAGATAAACTTCGAACGTTCCCAGTTCATTGGTCCCTTCTTCCTGTGTATTTTATAATTTTAAAATAAAACCAGTGTATTTTTCATAAACTGTCTGTTTAAACAGTTCAATTGAAGAAGGGACAAGTGCCTAATAAATTGGACACAACCAGTGTATAAATATATAAAGTATACACCTAGGTGAATACTTTGTATATTTATGCACTGTGTGGTGTGTGGTATCGTGTGGTGACGGCGAATCCTTCAGCCCATCTCATTCTGTAGGTTTTATAAGAGGTGACAGTTGAGGAGAAGCTCTCGTGGACCAAAGAATGCCACAAAGCACGGTCCTGAGCTACCTTATAATTTCATACAAATATTATACCAAAAATATCATACGAAAGTCGAGGAGTTGCGTGAACGGTGTGAGATATTTAGTTTTCCATCGCTTATTTTCCTGTACAGTTTGGCAATTAGCACTTATCTTCCCTTCTATTGAAGAGGCTCATGTTTAGCATTGAAAACTAATTAGAGTAATGATAACGATGATGATGTAACTATATACTTTGGTCCGACTTTTTCAGGTATCCATAACTCAGTGACCCTCTGGTGTGCGGTGATGAGCGAGCACAAGGTTCTACTGGTGTCTCTTGCTGCTGCCCGCCTGTCAGCCGCATGTCGTGCTCTGGCGGCCCTAATGTTCCCATTTCGTTATGCGCACGTGTACATCCCGCTCTTGCCCGCCGGCTTGGCCGAGGTGCTGGCAACGCCAACCCCGTTTCTCATCGGCGTGCATTCCAGTCTCAAGGAGGAGGTGTCTGAACTGGTAAGTTAACTTACATGTATTACGATATGATATATTTCAAAATAATGCCCACAAATCGAATTGAAAAGTAACTGAAATAAATAATTAAATGCCTTCTACCATAGAATACTATAATACATATATAATATAACGGGGGTGTGGGCGGAGCCCGTGTAGACTCTAAAATGCCACTAAGACGTCAATTCACACGTATAAATGTCAACACGAGATGTGTTTTGACGTTACAATCGTTTCCAAATTTCGCATGCAAATTATTTAGAAAATGCCAAATTGCACGCTATTTACAAATAAATATGTATTAAAATCCATCTGTCAACACAGCGAATCGGGTTTGTAGTAGTGACTAACTGATAATACGACGTAATTGCTTGTATGTGTGCTACTATGATTTCTACAATTTAATTAAGGATAGGGAAACTGCTGTCTTCCTACATCTAATTAATAACAGCTACTGATAAGGTTGATTTCTCATCTACCTTATTGTTTTAAAAGTCATTAGGCATGTATATTGTAGTAGTAAATATAGGTATTCAATAGTTCTCAATACATGCAAATTCATGTTCAATATATTTGTACAAGCAGCAGCTCTAAAAAGTATTTCCATTAGAATTACTTCGCAAGGAAGTTTCGATGTTGTTTCAGATGTGTTCAATGGGAAAACACAAAAAATGCAACATTATTAACAAAGTAATCATTTTCAATTTAATTTCTTTAATGACTCTTCAGATCATTCAAATTCAATTTTACTTATAACTTGATATCTGTGTTGTAATGTCCATAAATTCAAATAGGTAAAATCCTATATCTACTCTCTCATATAACGTTATGTGGTCTCTCTTCATATCGTTGTTAACTCACTACCTATTAAAACACCAGCTGGCCTATTCGTTAATTTTGTCGACATCGAACTAATAATCACTTTGAACACATTGTGTCGTATGTTATTAATGCATTACAAAGTAACTATCATTTTTATGTCAAAGAAGCTAGCTAATAGACCTGCAGATCGCTGATTTTGTGTGAAGTGAGTGTTTCATCAGACGTGCAGTCGTCGGGCTTTTTGCTTTAAAGACACCCACATTATAATCGGAAAGAAAAACAAATTCTGGCAAATGATTATAGTCTTTTTTCCCTTTGTTACTTACGACACCCAAAGTGATAAAAATTAAATTATTACCATAGTTTTAGATAAATGATCATTATGCTATATTACTTGCATTCTTCACAATTAATATTAATATGAATCCATTTCAAACTACCTACATTAATTCTAGAATTGAGTCACAATATAAAAGCGCGTACACTTGACGCTCATGGCAGTTGATTCCAGTGGCAGAATGGTATCAGTGTGGAACGTTCTGTGCAACGGCATTCATTAAATATAAGAAAGTGAGCCGTTACTGAATTGTATTGGTGTGGACCGTTCTGCGCAACGGCACTTTTTAGAGTTAGTGAGCTGGTACCGAATGGTATCAGTGTGGACCGTTCTGTGCAACGGCATTCATTAAATATAAGAAAGTGAGCCGTTACTGAATTGTATTGGTGTGGACCGTTCTGCGCAACGGCACTTCTTAGAGTTGGTGAGCTGGTACCAGAATGGCATCACTGTGGACCGTTCTGTGCAACGGCATTCATTAGATATAAGAAAGTGAGCCATTACTGAATTGTATCGGTGTGGACCGTTCTGTGCAATGGCACTTCTTAGAGTTAAAGAGTGAGCTGGTACTGAATGGTATCAGTGTGGACCGTTCTATGCAACGGCATTCATTAGAGTTAAAGAGAAAAACGATGTTGAATAGTACTATTTAGTCGGTATTAAGTGGAAAAACTATTAGTAGTTAGAGTTAGAGTTAAGAGTTATTGTTAATTTAAGACATATCTTTGGTACTGTTTTTACGCGGGGACCCATCTAGTGTCAGAATTGGTAGAGTGTTAGGTAATTACTTAGCAATCTTTACAATTAATAGAAATAGAAATAGAAACTTTTTTATTCAATGTAGATTATAAAAATACTTATTGAAGGTCACTTTTTTAATTTACCACTGGTTCGCAAAAAAAAACCTCTGTCCTGGGAAGAACCAGCAAGAAACCCAGCGGGACTATTTTTTTCCAATAATAGCTTACAATCATGTTTACAATCAACAACACAAGACAAATTAGAAATAGCTTGGTAGCGATCACCCTTCCCAGGGGTTATTATCATCTATAAATTCCTTAATATTATAATAACCCTTTTTATACAAACTTAGTTTAATAACATTTTTGAACTTTGTGTATGACAAATTTTGTATATTTTCTGGGATTTTGTTGTAAAAGCGTATACATCGCCCCAAGAATGAATTACTGACTCGGTGGAGTCGAGTAACTGGTACTACCAGCTTGTGTCTGTTCCTAGTATTTACAGAATGAATATCACTTATTTTCGCAAAACTACTTTTATTTTTGTGTACGTACATTACATTTTCATAAATGTATTGAGAGGCCAGAGTTAATATATTAATTTCTTTAAATTTTTGTCTCAGTGACTCTTTTGGTTTTAAATTATATATTGCTCTAATGGCCCTCTTCTGTAAAATAAATATAATTTCAGTGTCAGTCGCGTGTCCCCATAGCAAAATACCATACGACATAATGCTATGGAAATAACTGAAGTAAACTATTCTAGCTGTTTCAACACTGGTAAGAGTTCTAATCTTTTTTACAGCATATGCTGCAGAACTAAGTCTGCTAGCTAGTTTTGATATATGGGGGAGCCATTGAAGCTTTGCGTCCAGTGTGATTCCAAGAAAAATGGTGGTATCAACAAGACTCAGTTCCTCCCCATTTAAAATTACATTAGTATTGACATGTTTAACATTAGGAGTTACGAATTTCATACATTTAGTTTTAGTTCCATTCAAATGCAAATTATTAACATTAAACCAATTGAATAACTTAGCTATAGCATTATTTACTTCGTCGTAATTTAATAACTGTCTTTTTAATTTGAAAATTAATGAAGTATCATCAGCAAATAATACTATATCATGGTTATCCCCTACTATGTAAGGTAAGTCATTAATATATACAAGAAACAGAAAGGGGCCAAGAATTGAGCCCTGAGGCACGCCCATTTGTACAATCGACCCAGAAGAACTCATACTATTAATAACAACTTTTTGTGTTCTGTCACTTAAATATGAAATAATTAATTTAAGAGCATCATTTCTTACACCGTAGTGTTGAAGTTTCCTGATTAATGTTTCATGGTACAATAAAGGCCTAGTCACAGAACAAACCCAAAGCATCCTGTGAATTCTCCCATGCATTAAATATATATTTAATCAGCTCAACACCAGCATCAGTTGTCGAGCGACCCCTTGTGAAACCAAATTGATTTTTATGAAGTAATTTATTTACATTAAAAAAAATTAACAATTGATCAAGAATAATTTTTTCAAAAATTTTACTAAGTGTTGGCAGTACAGAAATAGGTCTAAAATTAGCGGGGTCCAATGTACTACCAGATTTAAATAAAGGTATTACTTTACTATGCTTCATTAAATCAGGAAACACACCAGATTTGATACTACTATTAAAAATAATAGATAGTTGAGGTGCGATTGTATCTATTATAGACGCAATAACTTCAACAGAAATCCCCCACAGATATATTATTAATATTAATATGAATCCATTTCAAACTACCTACATTAATTCTACAATTGAGTCGCAATATAAAAGCGCGTACACTTGACGCTCGCGGCAGTTGATTACGAACAGTGGTGCCGAGAAGGTTATAATAGTCAAGTCTATTGTGAAATAAGGTGATTCTAAAGGTTGTGAGTAAAGTTAAATTAATATATAGTCTTCTTTGTGAAAGTAAAGTATAGTAAGTGTGTTATAAAGTATTATATACAATTTAAGAGTGAAATTAAACAACGAACATAGTGGTTAAACAGTTAACTAAGTGAATTGTCGTGGTTTTATTGGAGAAAAGTTGACAATAGCTAATTGCAACTATTTTATACTGTCACAAAATTACAATATTACATATAAAACATATAACAATAGTGTCCTCCAGACTGAATTACATGTCTCAACGCAGTCTAGCCATCCGCGCAGGACAGAATTATAGTAGAGTTATCTTCGATCAATAATACCAACTAGATGTCGGGTCGGCGCAGGAAATCTATCGAAGTAAATAACAGCGCACATGAGACGTGAGCTCTTGTTTCGTTTAGTTCACTTGAAACACTGTCAATGTAAACACGTTTCACAATGCTGCAATGTGTATTTAAAAATTTCAAGAAAAATGCCCGCAAAAATAATTTAACGGCCGGAATGTCTTACTTTCGGTAATCAAAGTAACTAACAAATAATAGTATTTTAAACAAAGTTACCGATCAAAACCACCCCTACAAATGTTTTGCCAATGTTGACCAATACACGCGCAAACATTTGTGAAAGAGAACATGGACGCATGAAGTAGATTTGTATTGTAATCATTTTTAATAATTCGTTACCAAAACTTTAAATAATGGTGATTGCTACTTTTGTCTCTGTTTGTGTAATTCCAATAGATTTAAATTTTTTTTGCTTTCCTAGCTTTCTTCCCCGGTCGAGCCGATAATTGCAGCATGGCTCTACCAAGTTTTAAAAGTATGCAATAGGCAATCTTATTGCTGACAGCAATTTCTTCCAGACAACCATTTAATGGACAGGATTACATGAAGATGACAGGAATAGGGCAAATTGGTGTGATAAAAAAGAATACACATATTTATATATATACTATACATAGATGCATACATACTACGAACATATAAACATACAAAGAAATAAATAGAAATATATTGAATTTGTTAATTAAATGCAATTAATATGCTACATACTATATTATATTTAATGGCTAGTATGAAAGGATGTATATCAACAATCATAAATGCCCAAAACATAAAAATAATTTTAATTAAACTTATGATCATATTATAAATTATTTTAGTGTTCAACGCGAATCAATACTTCCTAGACCAAATTCGAAGAAGAAAACAGAAACATAACAAAATGAAGTATCTCGCAAGGCAATAACGGGAAAAAGAACTTTATTTGTTACTCGTTAAGGTTGATTTCACACCAAAGGTTGTTTAATTTATGTCTTTTCATTTCCAAGTGAGAGGAGTATTGTATAGCTTTGTTCTTTTTTTTGTGACTAAAATGTGATCGTAAGATTTGTGACTTTATTACTAGATGCGATGGTTGTAATTAGGTTGAGCTAGTTGAGTAGTCTTATATTTTAATTTTTGTCTCATTTCTTTAGTAAACAAATGTAGCTGTTTATATTCACGCGGACAGTATTTAGCTATGATTTTGTACGTGACCCATTATCTAGTTGGTATTGTTGATCGAAGAGAGTTATAGTGCCTAAGTGTGTGCGGAAGCACAGGTGCACTTTCTATTCCCTCACTCTAATAGCTCGATGGGAAGAGAATCCGAGACGTCCGGAAAAAGTTCAAGCGCAGGATCAACGGCTTTACATGCTTTCCAAGGTAATTGAAACACTGCAAACTTCCTGACTTCGGGCCACTACTGTGAAATTCTTGACAGGAAAAACTGTTTTTTTTTTGTTAATATCAGAGATTCGAACCCGGGACCTCAAGATCATCAATCACTTCTACGACTACTACGCCAACGAGGCAGTCAAATGCTTATAGAAAACATATATTACTTTAATTACTCTATATTTTAAACAGGTTTTGCTATAAAATTGTTGCCCTGCCCGACTATGTTTTCTCACAATCTAGATAAATAGGGTTAGTTTTATTGGCACTATTTGGTATTTTTGTCATATGTACTCGTAATTGTAAAATGTTAATTATATTATTTCAAATGTGACTGTTTGTTGAAAAAGTAAAAGAATAAAAAAAGCATGTGTGCAGTTTGCGGTAGAAGTGAAATCTTCAAATGAAATGAAATAGTATAAAATAAAAATATTTCATGGTAATGATATATAATATGATAATTTTAAACCACAAAAGTGGCATAAAATATAAGATAAATGTTTAATTTTATAAGTTATTTTTAGACAACGTATTATAAAGCTTAAATTTTAGTGGTAGAATATTTTCTTTCGAGTAAGATTGCTTTGTAATAGCACCATCTTCATTCTATAGGTAAAGTCATTTTATCGTACAAAAATTGATTGACTCTCAAGGTACTACGTAAAATAAACATTATGAAATCGTATATTGTTATGAATGGATTGGATATGATTATTTTATTCAATATGGATAGTTATATTTATTTAAAAAGTTATATTAGCCAACTTTAAAGCGCCGCACAAAGAGGAGACCTAGATAACAGAAGACACTGTACGAGGGGTGATCCAAAAGTAATGATAATGAAAATAAAACACGGTAATTAAAGTTAAAATAATAATTTATTTTTCTACATAGTCTCCTAACAAATCAATACATTTAGTCCATCTTTTTTCTAAACCCAGGATTCCCTTTGAAAAAAATTCTTTCTCTTGACCCTCCCAAAACGCTTCAACAGTGGCCATTACTTCGCTATCGTCTTCGAATTTCTTGCCTCGGAGGCGTTCCTTGAGCCGAGGAAAGAGGTAGAAGTCACTAGGAGCTAGATCTGGCGAATAGGGAGGGTGTTCGAGGAGTTCGAATCCCGTTTCTTGAATGGCAGCCATCGCAACTGCGGCTTTGTGAGCCGGTGCGTTGTCTTGGTGAAACAGCACTCCAGCTCGCAGTTTGCCGCGTTTTTTTTTCCTTAATGGCCTCCCGTAATCTTCTTATTTGGTCTGCGTAGTAAGAGCCCGTAATAGTGACTCCCTTTTCCAAATATTCCACAATAATTATGCCTTGAGCGTCCCAAAAAACAGATGCCATAAACTTTCCCGCCGGACTTGAAACTTTGAATTTCTTTGGCGTCGGTGAGGAGGCTCGCTTCCAAGTCATCGATTGTTGTTTCATTTCAGGATCAAAATGGTGGATCTAGGTCTCGTCCATAGTCACAAAACTGAACAAAAAATTTTCTTGATCTGCTTGGAACTTTTCGAGATTGACCCTCGAAATGTCAACTCGATTTTTCTTTTGCTCGTCGATTAACATTCTGGGTACCCAACGCGCAGAGACCTTTTTCATATGCAACTCGTTCGCAAGGATTCTTTGAACGCTGCCATATGAGATCCCTGTGACCTCAGCTACATGCCTGATGGTCACTCTTCGATCTGCCAACACAACATCTTCGACTTTTTTCACATTGTCTTCAGTGAGGGACGTGGATGGGCGTCCTTCGCGATGTTCATCTTCAGTGGATGTGCTGCCCAGTTTAAACTCCTTGGCCCAGCGTGCAACTGTAGAATATGGAGGAGCAGAGTCCCGCAATGTTTCCACTAAGTCACTGTGTATGTCTTTTGAAGACATTTTTTTCAAACAGAGGTACTTGGTGACTGCTCTAATTTCGTTTTTCTCCATGTTGGTGTTATCTCTTTCAGTTCGTATTCAAATGAAAGTATCTCCCGGAAATCGTGATCTATTTATATCATTTTTTAGGCTGATGTAGTGAGTATATAAGCAAGTAAAAAATATTTTTTTTGGATTTGGACGGACCTGAAGTAACCGATTATCATTACTTTTGGATCACCCGACCTATATTGTATTTTTATCTCATTCTCTCGCATGCTAAATTCTATGGGTTTGTATATTTGTCCCTTTTTTGTGTTGCCTTTTGGTTTCATACCAAGTTTCAAATCATGGCAATTCTGAAGAAGTTTTCAATTCATAATGGAAAGGTTCGCAAGCAGTGAGTGAGTTAAGTTCTCGTGTCGTTAACAGCTTGACGTGATCGTGGCGGACCTGGACGTGGGGTCGCTGCACATCCCGGGCAGCGTGAACATCCCGCAGCCGTCGGGCCGGCTGCTGGCAGGCCTGCAGCGCGCGCTGGCGCTCGTGCTGCAGCCGGAGCTGCGCTCGGCGGACTCTGCCTTCGCGCCGCCGCCGCCCGCCGCCTCGCCACCGCACCTGCTTGACAAGGAGATCCGCGCCGCCTTCATGCGCACCCTCGCCAACCTCCTGCAGGGCTACAGGTAACCACATGCAAGCCGTCCCCTGATGCTAACTGGTTATTAAGTGCTAAACTACGTCTGTCCTTGACTAACAATCAAAATGAAGATACGTTGACACCGCTGAGGACTAAGATGGAATGTCTCGTTTCCAGTGAAATGGGTCTTCCGTTCTCTATACTTACCATATGAAATACAGCAACATTGAGCTGCCAATTTAAGCTAGTATTATATGAGAGAGTAGTCCTTCCCCAAAACGCAGAAAGATCCCGTCCTTCGCACTAATAGATTTATACATCTTTATGGGCCGTCTTCATGCACACTCACTCCAACCTTCTGCAGAGATACTAATAAACCCTCTACAACAAGCAGGCAAACCTCGACTTGCGCACTACTCGTTTTACATAAGTATTTAGTGTAGCTCAGGGTAGTTACGCTCAGGTGAGCATTCTTTATCGTGATTTGTTCGTAAATCAATCATTAACCCTTCAATATGCACACGGTCGGATCCGACCACGACGATATTCCTTCAAATTCCAAGCGGTCGGATCCGATCACACCCACCCACAGCACTTTAAACCATAAAAATTTATATTTAGAGACTACTTGTCTATGAAGAAGTTTGGTATTATAGGCTCCATGTGAAATTTTCTATCCTTTCATGCAATAAAAAACTCAGTTAGTCTATGGTATTTATTTATAATATACGTATCATTTCGTACGACAGTTAGGTGTGGCGTATTATTGTGTTGATTTTTGGATTTTTTGTTATTAGTGTTTAGTAGAGTGTTTTATTATAAAATTGTTGTAAAAGCTTTTGTGTGAATACAATTTATATTTTTACATAAAAAATTTCGAGTGATATAGAAATAATTGTGTCCTGCGCTGGATATGTACATTTTTTACTTTGAAAATACAATTAAAATCTATTTGTAATGAAGTAAAAGCACTAAAACAAGTAATATAACATAATAAATAAACAGAAACAAGTGTTATATTGAAATTTATAATGAATTTTATTGAAAATAAATGAACGAGAAATTCCATGTTAGGATATTTGTAGCGACGCCGAGTCATGCGAAGCGCGCGGGCGGTGCGAACATTTTAGCTGAGGACTGAGGAGTTAAAATAGAATAGAATAAAGTAAAATTTTATTCAATATAAACTACACGTAAATCCTCTGGCCTGGAAAAACCAATAAGTAACCCGGCATTATAAGATATCACCGATTCAATATAATATCTGAGAAATGTACTTTCACAAACTTGGCCACACTACTATCATCTTCCTTACAACTTGCGAAGCTATTTAGTAAAGAGAAACTTTGTAGTGCCGTTAGAGGTGACAGAGGCAGAGGGTAAATGAAACAGAGATAGGCAGCAGCATCTTCCTGATAACGACTCAAAATGAATAAGAAACTGCGTTTGTCAACCCAATTGTCAAGCGTGGCAACTATGGCAAAATCCCCCTATGAGGCAATCTATGGGGAGGCCTATGTTCAGCAGTGGACTTGATGGCTGTGATGGATGGATGGATGTAAAGTGATACCAATTTTCCGAACATTCCTGTGAGTAATACGACTGTTGTGTCAACGATTATCAGATCATAGTGAAATCGTAATAATTATTTCCTGTACAAGTAAGATGGGGAAATCTGGTTGCTATTTTACCTTAACATGTACAAATATTTTTTGTTAAGTTAGAAGTCGTAGTGGAAGAGAGAATAAGAAGATATGGAGAGAAGAGAGACAGGAAAATCTTGAGGATAAGAGAGTAAAAATAAGAGAGATACTAATAACGGAAAGAGAAAAAGTGAAAACAAAAAGAAATAAACAACAGTAATAATAATAAAAATAAGACGAGAGAAAAATAGACAATAAGATAACAAAATGAACGCGAGAGTGAAAGCAAGAGAAACAAAATGACTCTGAGAGTTCACTATTTTGATCATTGATAGTCTAACCTAAAAAGTCTTGTTTTATGACGTTTACTTAGCAATAGTATCATAGATAAGAGTTAGCTTAGTTGGTCAAACAAAAAATAGCCCTACTATGAATCGACTCATCTGTCATAATGATAGCTATTTATAAAAGGCACTCTTAAAGTTAAATTCTGAAATCATCATTCCAGGCATTGTCTCACAATCATCCGCATCCACCCATCTCCGGTGCTGACATTTCACAAGGCGGGCTTCCTGGGCAGTAGGGGACTCTCCACATGTCCCTTCGCAGTTCGCTTGCTCGATTCCATGTTTTTTAACGGCCTCGTCGCCGAAAGAGGACCGCCTTGGCGACCCACCGATATATTTGACGAACTAATTCAGTGAGTATTATTTAAGAAACAAATTGATAAAAAGTTGTGATATGATTGAACATTCTATAAGTTAGTTACAAAAATACTATTTTTAATTAAGATCGGCATTGCATTACAATTTTTAGGAATCTGCCAGAACAACTGAGGCTAGAATCGGTGAACCCGGACTTTGAACTACAGCACATACAGGACCTGGCTATGCAGTTACATCTGAATGAAAATCCCAATCCGCAGGTATATGATAATTCGGTATGTCATCTTTTTTTTAAATTTCATATTTATATTTTTGCGTTATACATAAGGTTTTAGAACCAATTTAATAAACTAGCAAAGTAAAAAAATATACAATCGTATTTTATAAGCAATACCGAGACATTGACTTTTGTCAATTTTATAAGAAAATTACACTGAGAGCATTCGTCAGTGCTCTCACTGACATTGAGGTAATATGTATTTACGTACTAGAACAGCTATCTCAAACAAAAAATGTGCGCTACTCTGTGTTCGCGCGGTAGGTTTTTTATTATAGAATAAACAACTCTTTCAATAGCTCCCACTACGGACACCTCTGCTTTTAATTTTAGCCAATTTAACAGTTGTGATGTTAAGAGAGCCATAACGTCCATCCATTCAAATTCGATTGGTAGTGACTGCATTAGTCGGAAAATGGTCATCCCTCTCATTGATCTCCTTTTACCTATAATCACATCTATTCTGAATAATTCACTGAATTCTGCTTTTTTCCCTTCAGCTTGGAAAGACGCATTTGTAGCTTCTCTTCCGAAAAAGTCAAATCCCTCTAGTTTTTCTGATTATAGACCTATCTCTATTTTGCCTCTCTTTTCCAAAGTTCTCGAACGTCTTGTGCACAATCAATTAAGCACCTATCTTTTAAAGCACAATCTTTTAAATCCCTTGCAATCCGGTTTCCGTCCTGGCCATAGTACGACTACCGCACTTTTACAAATCACTGATGATATTCGGTATGGTATGGAGAAACAAAAGCTTACAATTCTCACGTTGCTTGATTTTAGTAACGCATTTAATACTGTAGATTTTGATATCTTGTTAAGAATCCTACGCTCTCTCAACATATCTCCAACTGTATTTGACTGGTTTCGAAGTTACTTGTTTGGTCGCCGACAGCGAATTCAGGTGCAAGAGGTTGTTTCCACCTGGACTACTACAGCTGCTGGTGTACCACAAGGTGGCGTGTTGTCTCCTCTCCTTTTTGCAATTTTCATTAACTCTATAAGTCATAATTTGTCCTCTTCCTACCACTTGTATGCTGATGATCTCCAAATCTATACTCAGTCCTCTCACTTGAAGATCTGTCTAAAGCAGTTGACACTATTAACGCTGATCTGAATTGTATTTCGAATTAAAGTAAATGTTATGGTTTAACGATTAATCCTAAGAAAACTCAGGCCATTGTCATCGGTAGTTCTAGATTAATTGGTAAAATTGACTGGTCTTCCCTACCTCCTATTATACTAGACTGCACTCTAATCCCTTACAGTAACAAGGTTAAAAACCTGGGGTTGTATCTTGACTCCTGTATGTCTTGGACCTCACAGGTTAATGAGGTCAGTAGAAAAATGTTTGCTGCGTTAAGCTCTTTACGTAGATTACGTAATTTTCTTCCCACAGCAACTAAAGTTACGCTCGCCCAGTCTCTACTTCTGCCTATCCTTGACTATGCTGATATTTGCTATCTTGACATTACTTTGAGCGCATTCAAAATTTATGCATTAGATTTATATTTGGGCTTCGCAAATATGATCATATCTCCGAATTTCGCAAACAGCTCAAATGGCTCCCGATCCGCCTTCGCAGGGATACTCACATTCTCTCCGCGTTGTATAGTGTGCTGTTTAATTCTTCCATTCCTCTTTATTTAAAAAAACCGTTTCCAGAGTATCTTTCTCTTACCCATAATCGGTTCCTTCGATCCTCCGTCAATCTTTCTCTCTCTACACCTTTGCACTCTTCTTCCTTTTTCAAGAAATCCTTCACCGTAACCGCTGTGCGATTGTGGAACTCCTTACCTCTCCATATTCGTCGTGCTAAATCTCTTCACTCTTTCAAAATTCTTGTTAAATCGTATTATTTAGAACGCTATTAGATAAATTACTTTACCTTTCTCGTACTCTTTTTATTTAATCTATTATATGATATTTTATATATAACTTTCACTTATTTTTATTTGTATGTATTATTTTTTATTATTGGGGTATCTATATAATTTTCTCACCTGGTTGGGTTCTATAAATATATAATTATAAATTAAAATGAAAAGATAATTATACATAAATATCAATAAAATAAAATAAATATAAAAACTACATAAATAAATAAGATCCAACCAGATGGGAGCCCTCGGCAAGGGAGACCAAACGGCCGAGGGTTAGGGGGAAAGGGAAAGAAACCGGCGGACGATGCGGGCGGTATCGAGGAGCACCGCCTTCTGCATTTGAGCCCGGAGCGGTCCGTCACGGAGTCCCAGTCGCCTCAGATGACCCGAGAGGCTGACTGGGATTAGCCCATTCGCAGAGACGACTACAGGAATAATTTCGGTCGGCATACCACCCCACATGTCGGTCACCTCGTGAGCCAGGTCCAGATATTTTGTTCGTTTCTCTGTTTCGGCTTTCACGAGGTTCTCGTCATACGGAATGGTAATGTCGATCAAAAATATCCTTGACTGTGCCCGGTCTATCAGCACAATATCAGGCTTATTCGCAAGAATAGTCCTGTCTGTGATGATGATCCGGTTCCAGTAGAGCCTGGCACGGTCATTTTCGAGCACGGCTTCCGGCAAGTACTTGTATGTAAGTACTTGTATTTTTATTATTATTATTATTTTGTATGCCCCCCTCTATTTGTAACCTTTGTTTGCAACATTCCTCTACGCAAAGGTTGTCCGGAAGAAATCACTTTCAGTGATAAGACCGCCTATTGTACATACTTTAATTAGTTTTAACTATATTGATGTTTCTGTATTGTGGTGTACAAAAAAGAATAAATAAACATAGGTAGAATGACCAATAGGTTAGTAGATTGTATTGTTAAATAGATAAATTATATTGTGTACATTTTTTTAACTTTGTCATTTATTTGTACATTATATTTGCTTTTTTAACAATATATTACATAATATGCTATCCAATTACATTTTTATGATATTTTTATCTGAATATTTTAAAAGGTAACTATGTCAAATATAAAAAAACATAGTAAATGTATGTTTAACAAAACTTAATAATATAACATTTAAATTACAAATATATTTATTTAAATTAGAATAAGAGTCGTTCATAAACGCTGGGCACGCGAGAGTTAAAAATGGACGAATTTATTCCACTTTGACTTTGAATTGGAAACCTAAAAATAAAATAAAAGAATAATAAGCAGATTTAAGACATGAAAAATTTAGCCTAATTATAATAACTTATACATGTTTCTACAAAAAAAAATGTGTATAATAATATATTCGTCCTATACTTAAGTACCCACAGAAATGTCTTATCTGAACAAATTAATTTCATAATCTGTATTCCATGACACTAGATGGCGTCTTAGGAATAATTTGTTTTATTATTAATATATAATACTTTTTTATTGATTAAGTAATCTTATTAACCGATGAAAAGTAATTCCTTGGTTTTTACTGATATTTCTTGAATTATTTGTGGAATATCTAAGTACACACGACGGCATATTTTTATCAAGAGATTTTTTTAAATCAACACAACACGTGACTTCTCTACATCGCCTAGTGAGTGATTGATTAAAGTGCGGTGTATGCATCGCAGTTGAGTGGAACAGAGTAGCTGAATGCAGTGTCGCCTCTAGTACGTAGTACATAATAGCTCAATGCTCACTGATGAAAAATTCGTTCTGTTATGGTCTCCCAACATACTGCCGCAGTATCTTAGGGAAATATATGACGTCATAAATCGCCGCCGTTTTTGTACTGTGAGCACTGGCGCTTTCGAGGTAAGGTGCTCTCAGTGCTTTGATCACGTGATCAAAAGCATAACAGCGCCTAGAGATTTAACAGCTTTCACGAATGATTGTTATTATTGTATATTAATATTGTTATTCAAATAAACTCCGGCATTAGGTTTTACATTCAAATAATGATTTTTCTTGTTGAACAGAAAACGTGTACATGATAATAAACAGCACCGAAAAATGGGGATGACAGTATATTAAACTGCGTTACGTTTTAAACTGTTATCTGTATATCAAACTAAAAATGAATGGCTTCACAGTATACTGAATTGACGTCACACCTTACAGTGGTCACAGTGTATATCGGAATACATGACGACTGTAAGGTGCCAATTGACATTTCTATTTCCATTCATGAATTACACGCTATATCCTTCAAAAGATTTTTTTCTTTTTGCCTTATTGGGTAATTAAATAAGAAAAACCGAGGCAAGTATATTGCCCCAGTTTGTGTAAAGTTTTAGGTTCTCTCTATGATTACTTATGTATATAAGTACTCTAAGGGGAATGTTATTATTTTAATCACTTTTAATATGCTATATTTTATTCCATACTATTTTTTTATTAAATGCATGAAACAGTTGTCAAAAAATGTAGTGCTATGTCAAAAATTCAGACACAAAATAATAATATAAATAGTAAAAAGCTATTCTAGTCGTTTTTGGAAAATCAAAATTGTTGTAATAATTTTGTTGTGCAGTTATTTCTCAGAAGTTTAGTAATAATTTTAGTTACCTATTAAATTTCTTTGCTGTTATAGTATTCTGATATTTAAGATATTATAAATATTAACGAAAAGTTTGTATTCTTATTTCAAAATTCATAGATGTTTGAGTAAATAATGAAATAAAAAAAATTAATAAAAGAAGCAGCGGACTAGAAGTCCGCCTGTCGGGGTAAAACCCTTTTACCTATTTTCGCCGCGTAATAACAGTGCTTGTGCTGATGTGTTCCGACTTAAAGGGTATAAAGGGATGAAGTTGCGCGTCTTTACAACGTGGCATTGCTGAATGTGTTCGTGTTGCAGACGTACCAGCAGCGCGTGCTTCGGCCGCCAGTGGGTGCCGAGGCGCGCATCCACCAGCCGCCGCTTCCGACGCTCGATGCGGCGCGCGTGCGTGACGTCATCCGCGACCTGGCGCAGCGCAACACCGCCAACCCCAAGTCAGTCCCGCACAAACACACATATACATATCTTTTTCTGTCCGATGATAGTGCTTTTATAGTTTATATATTATTGTATTGGTATAGAATAGATGTTTACAATTAATCTTATTTTAATTTTTATTTTGAGAGCCGTGGTAGCTCAGATGGTTAACTCTCGCTGTAAATTTCACAGTACGCAAGCAAACCGGGTTCGTGCCCCACCGGCGCTAATGGAATTGTTAATTGCAATTTTAAGTGTTGAATTACCACGTGCTCGGCGGTGAAGGAAATCATCGCGATGAAACCTGCATGTCAGAGAAATAATAAAAAAAATATTTCGAATACATGTGAAGTTCGCCCACACGCATTGGGGCAGCGCGACGGACAATTCCTCGCCCTAAAACCCTTTCAGAAATGAGCGGAGGCCTGTGCCCAGCAGTGGGACGTATATAGGCTGTAACTTTACTTTACTAATCTTATTTTAATTATGCGGCACGTTATGTTGAAACAGGGTTCTTGTTATAATCCAGCTCGAAAGACCATTTTTAAATAATTAAATAAATTTGAAATCGGGGCAGTTCCATATTCTACTTTACTCTTAGATATTACAAACTTCGTATAACGAAAAACAATGCTTGGCCTCGTGCATAATGTCATCACGGTTATTTGATGAGAAATCTCGAGTTCAGTCGTGTGTAGTACGCAGGTAATAAATAAACATTCTTTTCATGTTAACATTCGTATAGTGGCTTTATAAGAATATACACCAGCCCCAAATCATGACGTGAGTGTCATAGAAGGAGACAGTGGAAAACAAATAAGGAGATGGGACTTCCTAATAACGACTAAAATTAAAAAAACTACGCTTGCCAAGTGCGGCAACTATGGCCAATACGGCCCCTATAAGGCAATCCTATGCAAAGCAGTGGACTTTAATATGCTGTAACCGTAACGGTAATCCACGTGTCTGGGTCTGAAGGAAAACCGCCTTCTTCTTCTCAGGGTGCCACTTCTCTACGAAGGTTGGCGACCATAATGGCTATCATTATCTTAGAATGGAAGATAGAGTGCTGAGATTAAACCATTCACGAAGTTTCTTAAGCCAGGATGTTTTTCTTCTGCCAGGTCGACGTTTGCCCTCGATTTTTCTTTGAATTACAAGCCGAAGTATACGATATTTGTGTCCACTTATTATTGTGTCCAAAATACTGCTTAAGCTTCATTTTTTAGAATAAGCTTCCTCTCCTTCACGGCAAAAGCCGGTTACCACCTACGAAATATTGAAGAAAGTTTCAGAAACGCTACACGAGGGTGTAAACTGTGTTATGTTATTATATTTTGTTCCAGGCTAACAGCACTTCGGCCGCCACAAGCTCGCATCGTACCGCCCGCAGCTCCGCCAACGGGTGGAGAAGAACCTGGACAACTGCTACTTACAAACTCGGCACGACGGCTAGAAGTATGTGATGTTTTTGGTCTTCGTGGGGGTTACATCTTAGAAACTTTGAGAACTGGGAATATTGTAGTTAAATGATATTAGGAAACGCTTAATAATTCCACTCAACCGGAAGAATTGAAAAAAAAAAAATTAAAAGATGGGTATGTCATGAATGCTTAGGAATACTTATAAACAAAATTAATAGCAATATGTAAGTATATTTTTTAATTTTCTAAAACAAAATCTGTACATCTACAAAATATTTTTTTAAATTGAATTATGGTGAAAAATGTAAATGGATGACTTATGGATGGCTGTGACCCATAGATACCTATACATCTATCCTAGGTGAAGAAACAATATGTAGAAGCGCTACGAACCCTTATAAGCTTAGGACTAATTTATAATATTTGCTATTGTTGCCACTTTTGACTCATAGACCGTCAGATAGCCCCTCATATAATTGTTATATATTTGCCCTCATATAGTTGTTACGCTTGGCAGGCGGGTTACTAATATATAGTGTTGCGCGCCTAAGTTGACGTTAGGTACCTGGAACTAGCGCCATCTAGTGTCTGGGACCAAAGCGAGGAGGGCTTCCTAGAAAATGTCAATCTGGACTTTCGACCAACAGCGCCATCTAGTATCGAACAGAAGAATTAAGCTTTCTAGAAGCCCACACTCGAACTTTCTGCGCCTGGTCGGTTGGCGCGCGTATTTACTTGATTATTCTGGATGTTTTGGTGAAAAAGGTATATTTAAAGGCGCTGCCACATTGCACAAGCGAAGCTTCGGAGCGAAATAAAGTGAATCAGTGTGATTAATTATTAGTGTCTTTTAACTTTTAATTGGTGTTTCAAATTTTGGTAATTCAATCGGCAATTTTTATTGTCACGAACCTCAAGCTTGTGACAATTGTCAGAAGTGGGATAAAATCATGCTGATTTTACCTAAGGAGGAAACTGAGGGTGTCCGTACCCAAAGTCAACGCCAGCAGGAGACGGACCAAAGAAGATTTGGTGGTGCAACGTCGTAGACGTCGGAGGGCCAGCCGCCGGCTGCAGGCCCGTCAGTAGCTCCTACATCTGCAGCACCTGACTTAGGTGCTCTGATTGTGATGCTACAGGAGCAAGCCCGTTGGTTGAAAGAGCAGCGGGAGGAACAGGCTCGCCGACAGGAGGAACAGGTCCGTCAGTTGAAAGAGTAGCTGCGGGGTGGACAAGAGGAACAGGCTCGCCGGCAGGAGGAACAGGCTCGCCAGCAGGAGGAATAGGCTCGCCGGCAGGAGGAAACAGCCTCGCCGGCAGGAGGAACAGGCTCGCCGGCAGGAGGAATAGGCTCGCCGGCAGGAGGAACAGGCCTGCCGATTGGAAGAGCAGCTGCGGGGCGGACAAAAGGAACAGGCCCGTCGGTTGGAAGAGCAGATGCTCCTCATGAAGGACCTTCACGCTACCTTCAGGAAGGAGATAAAGGAGGTGAAGGATAGGGTTGCTTAGCATGACGACCGCCTGTCGGAAGCTGAAACCCAAATTGCGAAGGCTGAAACCCGAATCGAGAAAGCTGAAACCCGAATCGACCAAGTGAACAATCGGGTTGACAACGTGATGGCTGACGTAAAGAAAACGCTGGACGACCTCAAACTGGGGGATGGAATTACAACTCCCGTAGTAGCTACAAAACCTTCGCTACGTGGGTTCAAGGTGCCACCGTTCAACGGGACTTCTTCCTGGTCAGCCTACAAAATCCAGTTCGAGGCTGTTATGAAGGCGAACGGCTGGAATAAAAGTCAGGCCATGACTGCTCTCACACTAGGCCTGCGCGACCAGGCCTTAATAGTTCTGGAAGCTTTCGGTGAGGAAGTGACTTATGAGTAACTCCTTGAGGCATTAAGGCGAGATATGGCGACGCTCACCTGGAACACGTCTTTCGTGCGCAGCTTAACCCCGTGGCTCTGACAGCGCGCGACATGTTATACTCCCGTTCGCTCGGGACCTTAATGGCGGGAAAATTTGTAAGTTAGAAAATTGTTTGCTATATTGCAAATTTTGCTATATTTTCACTTTGAGACAATATTTATGGATAAAACTTACAGGATTTCTTGTTGAATGTATAAACTATCGAATAAAATTATTTTTGGTTGCTATAAATTGTAATAAAATACATAAATTACCCTGTATAGCATAGTAGTAGCATATACTTCAATTTTAGTGACAAAATTACTACTAATTTGAATTCTACACTTTTGTTTTTGGAGAAATTTATATGAAAATGTTTGAAAATATGTATATTTTTATGTTTTATATGTTTCCATTCGTTACTCATACCAAAATATTAAAATATTAAAAAATTAAAAAAAAAAAACAATAATAATATTTTATCTGTGTGACATTTAGAACAATATTTCAAAAATAATTATGTGTGAATTTGAAATAAATACAACGTCAAGTTATTTGAAATATGTAAGAAAACTATTTTTACTTACATTTTACACTAAAAATAAATGAGAATTTGAAAAATAACACATTTATGACCCAACCGCCAAAATGGGTCTTCCAGATTTTGAAGTACTTTTGGCAATTTACTTTTCACTTTTTATACCATAAATTATATATCTACGTGTTCACTATATTACAAGGAATATAAAAAAGTATAAAACTTTCGTTTTTAGTCCAGACACAAATATAAAATTCTATAAAAAAAGACGGAGCACCTTCATCAAAACGACACGTGGAACGCCGAAAGTTCAGAGTGATTTCTTTTTTTTTTTTCTAAGTAACATTGCCAGGTTATGGTTTAAAATAAAAGAGCATATCTTTGTCTTTGATACTATTATCTATTGCATATTGTCTTTGGTTTTGTTTTAAAGGAAAAAATAGTTTTTTCATAAGGCAGTACTTCTGATCCGACCTGATCTAATTCGACCCGTACCAGAGCCGACGTAAGGTAGGTATTGTATGATCTGATTAGATTGGTAGCCGAGTAAATGGGTTAAAGATCGCTTGCAGCGCATCAACGAAAACCTGCAGCAGTGGGCTCTAGATGTGGAGAAGCCGGTGCAAAAAGCATACCGGTCTTCCTGCGCTCATTGAAGGGAACCTGGTGCAGACATTAGACCGCGACCTTAGACCTTAAAGTCAGAGCTGCTGTAAGGCTCGGGCACCACAAGACGCTTAAGGACGCCTTTACCCATGCACTATCAGGGAGGTTGCAGCGGCTACAGTTCGCGACCGCAACAAAGGATACAGCCCTAGGTGCTATGGCTGTGAGGAAAGGGGCCATCTTCGATCCAGCTGCCCTAAGCGAACCCTAGAAAGGGAAGGTGAACGATCTCAGGAGGGTAGTGCGGCCAACAGCACCGCCCAGCAGCAGCAGGGAAACTAGTAAAAGCCAGAACTGCGGGGCGGGTGCTGGCTGATGTTAAAAGAGCCCCAAGGATCTCGATCTCACAAACCCATGATGGGAAATGTCTAATCATCAATAGCGAAGTCAACGGAATGCCGTGTAAACTGACCATAGACACTGGAGCCTCTCGTACGGTTGTTAGTTCCCAACTTATAAGTCAGTTTCTTGGGGACTCCGCATACAACCGAGAACCCATTAATTTGGTAACAGCAACCGGTCAGCGTATACCCGTCCGCGGAGAGAAGGAGATGGAGTTGAAGCTAGGCAACGTGATCTACCTGCATAATGCCATTGTGGCTGATATAATGGACGACTGCATCTTGGGCCTAGACTTTATGAGGAATAATTGTTGTGAGATTGACCTTAAGCAAGGTGTTTTTAAATGTGGACAGGCGGAACTTTTTATGGAAGGTGCGTTACCAGGGAACGTGTACAGCATTAAGAAGATTGTTCTTCCGCCGAGATCGAAAACAATTGTGCCGGTTAGTCTTCCTCTAACCGCTGGGCAAGCTCACCGTTGTGTACTTGTGGAAAGGGTAAACGATGACCTTCCATGGAAAGTAGCTCGAACCTTGGTCAGAACCACTGACATCTCAAGAGTACGTGTGCTGAACCTTTGTGACCAGGAACAGATTATAGAAAAAGGCACACTGGTTGTTACTTGTGAGGAAGTGGATTGGTTACGTCGGTGCCGATATCTATCGAGTGGGACCCCCAGCAAGGATGCACAAACGAGAGTGACCACACTTTTGGAAGACTGTCACAACGTTCTCTCCCCGAACGAAATGGTCAAGGCGAAGAAGTTGTTACTCAAGTACGCCAATGTATTCTCATCAAACGATGCTGACATAGGAAAGACTGGCTTAGTTCAACACAAAATAAACACAGGAGAAGAATTGCCTATCCGCCAGCGCCCAAGAAGATTGCCGTTAGCACGTGAAAAAGAAGTGGAAACCGTGATTGAGGGAATGGTGAAGGATGGTGTTATTGAACCTTCATCTAGTTCATGGTGTTCACTCGTAGTGCTGGTAAAGAAGAAGGATAGCTATCCCTTGCCAAGAATTGATGACACGCTGGACATGCTTACAGGAGTAAAGTGGTTTAGCACGGTGTGGTGGTGTAGCTTCAGTGTGTTTCGTTTGTGGCGGCGCTGTCTTCGCGCCACAAGCGAAACACACCGAAGCCTAAATCACGCTATCAACATTCCGAATCATAAACAGTATATATAGAACTTCTCCGAACTATCACACGGAGCGTTGGCCGCTCCCTGGGCACAACACCTTGCCCGGCGGGAGATCTCCCCTTTTCTTCCACGGCCACAGTGGTGACTACCCAACGTGGTCTGAACACGCAACCAACAATCTTCGGAAACTTCAAGCTTCATCATCGTCATAAAATACCCCACCTATTCGCTCCCGAGCAGATATCGTCTGCAGTCTTCATATCCTGCAAGCCATCTAGCTTCACAAGGTTCATCGCAGCACTGGAATAATAATGCTTCCTGTTCCTTCAAGCTACTCTCTGCGCTATACAGTGTTCGGCACGGCTCTGAGCCTTACTGCTCGCCTCTGCTTCACGGCACTCTCGCAGATTACTTGCCTTCTTCTCGACTCACTGCA